TTCTCTCTTTGTTCTGTACCTTTAGTGTTTTTACTGTGATGTGCCATGGAGTGTTTCTTTTCTGGTCCTGTCTATTTTATGTTCTATATGTTTCTTGTATTTGTATGGGCTTGTCTTTAATTTTCAGAAATTTTCTTCTACAATCCCATTGAAAATCTGGTTCTTACCATTATCCTAAGATTCTTCTTCCTGTATGTCTATGATTCACAAGTTTGGTCTTTTTATGGTGTCACACAATTCCTGCATATTTCATTCTTGTCTTTTCTTAAGTTTTTCAAGATCTTTGAGTGGTCTGATTTGTCCTCTTTGCCTTCCAGTCTTGATATTCTGTTCTCCATTTCATTCATCCTTTTGGTGAGGCTTTCTCCTGTCATTTCTAATTGACTTGTTGAGTGTTTCATGTCCTTCTTCAGTTCAGCCTAAGTATTCTTCAATATTTCTTTTTTTCTGAGTTCATTCAGCAGTTTATCCCTATCGTCTTTCAGTTCTTTGATTTCTTTGTTTTTGTGTTCTTTAAATTCACTGTATTCTTTTATCACGTTTATAATCGTTCTTTTGAGTTCCATGTCCTGTGTTATCTCTAGGGCATTTTCATGGTACTCCTCTACAGGACTGTTGGTACTTGGTGGGGGTATATTATTTGGGTTATTAATGTTATGATTTTTTTCACTGTGACTTTGACATGTGGATTTCTTTTGTAGTTTCTGATTCTTGTGTGAGACTCAAGCCTTCCTTTGTTGAATTTAGGTCTGCTTATTTTTGGAAACTTTGTGTGCCTTTGTGGTTTACTTGTTGGGCATGAAAAGCTTGTTGGTCTAGGCTTCAGATTCTCTCTTCTGATTTTATATTGTAGAGGCCAAATTCCATTGTCTTACTGATCAGGCGTTCCTAAAGAGGCCCAAGTCAGATGAGGATCAGATGCTCTGAGGCTTTCTCCTAAGGTCTAGATGTCTACAGAAAAGATGCTGGACATAGGAATTTGGGAGCTGATCTGGTCTGGGACCAGGGCCTAGGAAAGATGCTGGCTCCAAGAAGTTGGTGGCTCTGCCACCAATTGTTGCAAAGGGAAGTGGGGGTAGGCTGAGTTCCCAAGGGCTCCCAGGGACTATAGGGAGGAATTAGGTTCATCCGGATGCAAAGGATCAGTAAGCAGTGGGCAATCTGGACCAAGAGGTCAGTCCAGAGGTCTGGGTTGCCAAGACAAGTAATGGGCCAGAACCCTGGCAAGGACAAGAGATGGGGTGGGGGAGCTGGGAGGGTGAATGAGGCTGGGGGAATCAAGGTGCAGTGGGCATGGCCAAACACACCCAAGAAAGAATGTGGCCCCAGGATCCTGGTGGCTGTGCTGCCCCTGGATGCATAGGAAGGTGGAGGCAGGAACAGGCCCCAAGGGCTCCAGGGATTAGAGGGAGGAATTAGGTTGGTCTGGATGCAAAAGATCAGAAAGCAGGGGGAGTCTAAGGCAAAAGGTCAGTCCAGCATTATGGGGTACCAAGACAAGAAATTGTCCAGTGCTCAGTCTAGGAGGAGAGATGGGGTGAGGGAGCGTCAGTGAGGCTAGGGGACTCAACGCACAGCGGTGCCACAAAACTTAACCAAGGAAAGATGCTGGCCCCAGGAAATAATAAATAATATTTTTAAAATCACTTACTGTAAATTGTGGCTTTACCCTTAATGATTAAACAAAAATAAAAAATGGTTTTATAGAAATGAATGTAGTCAATACCATAATAATTCACTAATTTTATTGATTTTTTTGATTTTCATACAATGTTAGTTGATGGTATTTCTATCCCTTCTCCTACCCTCTCTTCCCCTATTGTTTCACCTAATTTAATTTACTCTATTTTATCTATCTATCTATCTATCTATCATCATCTATCTATCTATCTATCTATCTATCTATAATCTATCTATCTATCTATCTATCTATCTATCTATCTATCATCTATCTAGGTAGGTAGACTTATAAAGTCTAATTTGTGTTTCTAAATGTCCTTCAGTGTGGGTCCATCCACTGGAGCCTGGTTAAACTACTAAGGGTCCCATGCTTGAAGGAGATTGTCTCTTGCCCTTTCAGAAGCCCTCTTTTGGTGAAATTTCTTAGGTGGGGTTGGAGCTTCTACCCACTTCCTCATGGCTATGCTGGCATTTTTTTCTGGTTTGAGCTTACATGGGACGTGTGTATGCTGTCATCATTGTTGTGAGTTCATATAAATAACTGACTACCTATTTCCTGTTTCTTTGTGGTCATCCAGGACCTCCAGGTCTTAAAAATTTTCCAACTTCTGCAATGATCCCTGAACCTTGGGAGGCAGAAGTTTGATATAGGTGTCTTTTTCGGGATTCTTGATCACTGTGGGTTGGTCAGGTGTGGGTTTCTGTGTTAATCATCATCCGTTACATACGGAAACTTCTATGGTGAGAGTTGAGAGATGCATTAATCCTTGGTTATAACAACGAGTTGTTAAGATTCAGTTTAATACAATAACTATTTAGTAAAAAGCTAGTAGTAGGTTCTCCCCTGTATCCTGTGACCTGTTTAGCTTCAGGTTCCTAAACCTGATATCAATGTCCATATGGGCTCCATCCTAGGAAGCACATCTTGTCAGGGTAGTTGTTGTAGTTCGCCAGATTCGCAGCTGGGTAAGTTTGGTGATTTTTTTTTTTTTTCATTCCAGTAGCATGCAGAGCACCCTGAAGCACTATGAACACTAGCCAGGGGAGCTGAGGCTCTGAAGTCAAAGTCAACCCCCGCTTGGTTTTTCTGGTGTTTTTTTTTTTTTTTTTTACAGCTCATGTATGTAGTGTATTCAGCAATTCAATTTTAAAATTCATAGATGTCAAGAAACTAATTAAAGGGCATGGTAGGGGAGCCTTCTTGGAATGGTTGGAAGAATGCAATGGTATGAAGGGGGAAAGGGGAGCCTGTGACTAGGAAGGGTTAAATGGGATAGGGAATGAAAGGGCAAGTCAGAAGAAGGAGTATGGGGAAGGCTAAGTAACACTAAAGCCTTTAGAAAAAGTCATAAGGAGACCTTCCACTATAGCAGATTCTTTATAGATATATGTATAGATATATATCGATGTATATCTTAAAATATATTAAAGGGAGTTATCCTGTAACAGGGAGACATTGCCCTTTCTAGATGTCATAGGTTAATGAGATATTTAAAAAAAAAAAAAAAAAAAAACCTCAGCGCCAGGAATGGACTCCTCTAGAAGTTGTTGACCATGAATCCCATAGACTCTCAAGAAATATTTGTTGTTGTTCTTTTGTTACCCACCAGAATTGAATAGTACGCCAGAGATTTTTAATGTGGTTTTATTTTCTTTCCGTATTTGAAAATGTCTTTTTCTATTTCATTTAAAATTTGAGTGGGATGTTTGGGTGTGTGTGTGTGTGTGTCAAAAATTGTTGCCTTTGTTATTCAATAATATTCTATAGTATGATATTCTATAGGGTGCTTAATCATCCATCGAATTGCTACTTCGAAAAATAGTTCACAAGTAGATATATGAAATTATGCTTTTAGTTCTAAGTCTAAATCTTGCTGTTGAAATTTCTGGTCTATTTATTAAGTTACTATTTGTTTATTTATGTACATTAATTATTTATTGAGACTTTCATACATGAATATTACATTTGCATTATTGTCACACTTCTCAGCCCCCACCACTCCTCCAATGCTCCCCACTCCCTCTTAATTTCTTGTCCTCTTCTTTATTATTGCTACACCAACATACATTTATAAGTATGCATATATATATATATATATATGTAATGTACTAAGTCCATTCAGTGGTGCTTTTGTGTATACATGCTTTGGGCTGTCCTCATGGGTTTAGATAACCTCTCAGGGAGCTCTTGTACCTGGAGAAAACTGATTCTCCTACCTTTAGCATCCATTGAAATGGTTGAATCAAGTCTATTGAATGGCATTTCCCAGCTCTTCACTTTATCTTCTGGGTTTTCTACATTTTCTTCTGCAGTCTTCCATGAGCCTTAGGAAGATGGTATAAATATTTACTTTAGTAATGGAATCTCAGTCATTACCTGTAGCTTCATCTAGAGAAGGATCCCTGTGACATTTCCCCCAGCTACACTGATATGTCAACTTATTTTGTTATTATACAGATCTCAGGCTACCATACTATGTAGATATCATGGGTACAGCTTCCCTATCATGTCCAGAATGCATTATCTAACAGCAGCCATCTGGTTCCTCTGAGTCTTTGAATCTTTCCACACCACCTCTTCTGAAATGTTCACTGAGACAGCATTAGAGTTTACATTGTATATGTATCACTTAGGGCTTATTTATTTATTATTTATTATTTGATGCAGAGAACTGATAGTGGTTGTGGGCATAGCATTGAACAAAACATTTATACCATCTGCTTAAGGCTCAAGGAACACTGCAGAATAGGATACAGGAAGTGTACAAAAGCCAGAAGATACAGTGATGAGCTGTGAAATGCCATTCTATAGACTTGATACAATCATTACAAGCATTAACTCATAGCAATTATAGTTACCTGCATGGGGCTCACACAATACAGGCCCTATCAACAGTCAGTCAAGGAAGGGAATGGGGCTCATAGGGTCCTACCCTTTACCTCTGAAGTTGGTTCTTTATAGATTTTGGGAGAAGTGGAACCACTGTCTTTAGTTATTTATGCACTGTTTTGCCCAGCAGGCTCCAATGGATAATTCTCAACCTATGGCTATACAGATGGCCCTGGTTAATTTCATTGATCTACAAAATAAATTGAACAGATATGAACATGAGAGATTTGTGGGGAGGAAGTTAGGGGACAGGGTGGTAGGGAGATGGGGTGAGAGTGGTCAGTATGCATTTAGTACATGTGCAGAATTATCTAAGAACAAATTTAATAGTGACTTCTGTTATTTCCTGACTCCTCATTCCTCTTCCTCCTCTTTCTTCTGCTTTACTTTCTTTGACTTTACTTTTATTTTATCACATTTTTGTTACTTAAAAAATATGGAACATTTTTGAAATTTGTATTTCATCCTTGCACAGGGATCATGCTAATCTCTGCACTCTTCCAGTTTTAGTCTATATGCTGCCAAAAGGAACACATCTTTAGCGTTTAGATTCTGATGCCTTTGCATGTATAAATAACTCCACTGCAAACATTTTTTAATGGTTTTAATAGTAGATCTTGGTACTTTCAGCATAACTAAGATAGAGGCAATATTAGTATAACAAGATGTTATTATTAGATTTCTTTGATATAAGTTAGAATTCAAATCCCTTATTATGAATGCATTTTGAATCAACATAAAATATTTCACTCATGAATAAGCAATGTACTTATAAATTATTTAAAGCTAACCAAAGGTTAAAATTGCATATTTACAATAGCTCACTCATTTATAATTACTTCACAAAGTCTTAAAAATGAAGATATATGGTTTTTTTGAAACACTCAAAATCTAAATGGTAAAGTAAATTATGTTTCATGAACAAAATGGTTTTACGATTAAAAGTGTTAAAAATTCTAAGTCTTGTACAGATTTTCACATTTTTCTTATTTCTTGTAAATTATAAAACTCTCTTCTTTTAAATCAACCATGATGTTTGCCCTTTTAAATTTACGATGGATATTGTACAATTAACATTATCATGACAACTGATATGTGAAAGCAATACGCTTACACCAAGTAATTGCAACGAAATAATCCTGGCATTTCTCAAGCACAGAAGCAGAACATGTTCTATCTCAGCATCTAATCTTTTCTTTTCCTTCACCCTTACTTAAATTTATTTTTACTATTACATTTCTTTATTTTATTTAAGGCCCACAAATTACATTATTCTAGATAAATTTTTGTTTTGCTTTCTCTACAAGAATGAATTAGTATACTGTTATAAATAGATTCACGAAATTAGTCTATTTATTCTGCCTCATATTTGTTAACTTTAATTAGTGGCTGTTACCTTTTATTTTGGCATATGTATGTGGTGGGGGGGTGTGCTCATCTGTGTATGTGTGTGTGTACATTGGCATATGTGTGTGTGCCTGAAGTTGTTGATGCTTGTTTCCTCAGTCATTCAACAGGGTCTTTTGATGATCCTCAAACTCACTGATTCCCTCTAGTATAGCTAGCCAGTTTGCCCACAGATCCTATGACTTTGCATCTAGAGTGCTGGGATTACAGGTCTCGACATACCTCCAGGCATTTATACATGGTCCTCATGGTTGCCTAACAAGCCACCCATCCCCTGACTCTTGTTACCTTTAAAAGCCAACCCTTTATTGAATTATCAATGAAAGTAACAACTATGTATTAATATTGGTCATTAGTCATATGTGCTCTATATTCCTTGGGATATAGTCACAAATTGATATTAAATATCCATTTTTATAAGTGTATCTTTATGTTATAGAGTGGAGTGAGGCTTTTGTATTTCAGTTTTATTTTCCTGAATAGCTATCTGTATTTTCTTCCTTTTGTTGAGCCATCTAGAAGTTACTTAAATTGTTAATTAAAATCTGAAGAGAATTGAATTACTCTAGATTTTTCATACTTTTGAAGTAGCCCTTTAGATTATGTAAAAATATTTAGTTGTATGTACTTATTTGTGTTTATAAGTGATAATTCTAATGTAATGTTATCAATATTTTATATAGACTCTGTGATCAGATTTGATGATATAAGTCCTAGTCTACCTTCAGCATAATGATATAACACAGTATGAAATGAGAGGGAAAGGAATCTGAAGTGTGCTTCTGAGGCCAGTAATAGGGAAAGTTAACATGGAAAATCTCCAAGCATGCAGTCAGACCCTCAGGGTTTCCTTCAGCCCTGCTATTCCCACTGTCCAGCTGGAAAATTTGATCACTTATAGAGCTAATCCACACATGTTAAAAATAAACTGGATGAATTAGATCTAGAAGGAGCAAAAATGTCCAATAATATAAATTTCTATAGGGAAGAAACAGTTATTATAATGTTATCCAATAATGGCCGAAGTACCTTTCACACTATTAAGATTCAAATTAAAATACTCATGAAGTGAGCAGGGAAGAAAGATCAGTAAAGTGCTTATCATGCAAGCAGGAGGAGCCATACCTCATAAAAAACCTAAGCACAGCAGAGTGTGCTCGTAATCCTAGTGCTGGGAAGGTGGAAGCAAGTCCAGACATGACATCTGAGGTTGTCATCAGGCCTCCACAGACGTTCATCACATGAACACATAACCCACATGGACACACAGACACAATTCCACACACGTATATACAGATACACACGCATACACACATCAATGATGAAAGATTTGGGCAATTTAAATCCTATTTAGAGTAATAATATCTTTCTATCCTATTAAGTAACAGGTCTGATAACATGGTCTTTTAAAAAATTACATTATACTACTTTTGGTTCATAGATAAAGCCTTTCCATGAGAAAAATAATCTCTAATATTTTCCAAAAATCCTAGTGATGCCAGGAAGTTAATGACATGAACTTGACCTTTCCACATGCCAATGGGAACTATGTTGTCACTCACCTGATGAGAAAGTCTAATTATCCTCTCAAATTTTTTGTGAAAATTTCCAATAGTTGCTATCATTGCGACTAATTTCAAATAACTTTAAAAATAGAATTTACAACATTTTCTGTTTTTTTTAATGGAGACAAATGTTCAGACTTTGGCAAAGAAAATAATTTTTCTGCATTTTACTATGCACAATTTTCAGTCTCATAAACTTTCTAGATCATAATGTTTTGGTATACTGCTTTAGGAACTTCTAATTAATATGTTATTTTCTTAGACCTAACTTGTACTTCTAAATTTAACAAAAGAAGAATTTAAATGTCCAAGGCAAGGCAAAATTGAACACCCAAGATTGTCAAGTTGGCAGGTGAGGTGACAGCATGGGCAATCAACATTACGGCAAATTTTTTTCCTTACTGTGTAACTACCAATTCTTCCATGGAATATATCTGGTGAGGATGAGAACACATGGGAGTGTAGTATCCTTGATTAATTCCCCTAATCTCATCCTTGCATCTTGCTAGAGACTGCTTACTGTTTCTCCATTCCAGTAAACACTTAATATTAAGACTTACAGTGTTCTGTTGTTGAAATAAGTAGGAAACTGGCCTTGGGCCACATTTGTAAAACTACATTCAAGTACACCATCAATCAAATCTTATCGAAATGCCAGTGTGCAGCTGGGTATTACAGATGTTCAGTAGAATTACTCCTCATTCATTCCACAAAAACAGATTTAGGGGACAAATTGCAAAGGAGAAAAAAAAAAAGGAAGAAATCATTTTTGTGAATAACAACTAAAAATCTTACAGATTGATAGATGAGTTTATATTATTTTTAATTTGATTATTTTGTGGATATTAAAGTATAATCAGAGTGCTATATTTTAACATTTTCATTTCATTATTTTTTCATTTATTCTAGATATCCACATGACTAACCATAAGATAGCTGTTACTTTGAAACTGCTCTACACTGCAAGTACACTGTCTTTCTTTGGTGAATGTTTTTTTGCTTGAGTGGGTTCGAATATTTGGAGCACCGGTTTTAATATATTGGTTTGACATGAAGTGACAGTAAAATGATAACCCTGAGGCCTAATGTTCATTCAGCCAAGTGAAACAAGTTTCTTTCTTATTCTTAAAATGAAGAAAATGTAGGTATCTATAATATACCACGGTTTATTTAAAATTGTTTAGGTAAAATATATAATCATTTAATTTTATTCTATATATGTCTCTAGTAATTGAAATATAAAAGTGCTTTTAATATCACCATTCAGTTTGCTAAAGAATGGTAAAAAAAAATTCACTTTTTAATTTTTTAACAAACTACTACTGTTTCGCATTAAGCAACATACACTAGAGTTTACATTTGCCTCTAGGTAGTTCTTAAAAATTATATGTCTTACAGGGCTTATACTGAGTTTAATATTGTATAACTGTATTAACTGAACAGTGAACTTAAAATTTTATAGCCACTTTTGAAAGAGATGTATCTTTGGTCTGGAAACTGTTATTGAGTACATTAAAGCTGTAATGAAATGCTTCTTCAAAAAAAATTATACATGCAATAGCAGAATTAGACAAAAGTACATATATTTAGGGACTGGAGAGATGGCTCAGGATTTAGGAGCAGTGGATGCTTTTACAGAAGACCCAGGTTTGATTCCCAACACCCACATGGTGGCTAAGAACCAAACCTAATTCCAGTTCTGGGGGAATCCGACACCCTCTTCTGATCTCCTCAGGCACTGCATGACACAGGTGCACCTACATACATACAGGCAATACACTCATACACATAAAACTTAAAAAAATTAAACTATATACACTTTAAACACTATATGCATGAATATAAAAATGAACATGAGATGAAAGTTTAAAAAACGTTTGAAATACAGTATTAAATCAAAGATGGCCAAAATTATTTCTAAAGACAGAATCGATTTCCCAGATTGAGGAAGTGAATGTGACACTCAAGGAAAGTGTTTAAGGTGAGATATTTTAAGGTATTTATTGTTGAAATTGCCCACAGTCTTTCGTCACTGGCTTATCCTCCCAACTTCGTCACTGTGAGTGATTTATGAAATGGCCAAGGACTCAAATCTTCTCACACAGTATATTAGTTTCATGTACGCATTTTAGAAAATGGTAATACAAATAGAGAAAAAAAGCACATGATTTTTATTTGTGTGTTTAAACTTAATGCTCTTTATTTTGAGTATGTTATAAACTTAGTGACAGAGTTTCAGAGATGATATACAAATAAAATAAATGTATCCCTATTACTTCAAGACGATAAAGGCATACTTTCTACCTGAATGAGTCTTCCCAAATTCTACACACATGCACAAACACAATATACGCTCAATTTTTTTAATTACTTTAATTTTTTCACATTTTTCTTAAAAAGTGATAATATTTTTGGCAAATTCTGTTTAATTTCCCATTGAGTATAAAAGTCAGTAATATGAGTGGACAAGTCACAGCAAAAAGCTCGCTCTAAACATGACAGGTATATTGGCAGAAAGAGAGTTAGGGAGCATCTGGCTTCCCTTCCAGCAGGACAGAGCCA